TTAATAAGGCTATATTTGTCACTGAGAGCATGAATGTTAAAATTTTCATTAGTAATTTGTAATTTTTGGAAAATTAATGTTTTTATAGACTGATAAAAATATCTGTGAGCCTTAAGGGTGCATATCACTTTTATATTTTGAAGGCATCAAATTAAATTTGTATCAAATGTTATATTTTCATAAAGTATTAAACACTTAAAAGAAGATTAAAACAGTGTAGGAGTATTATTCTTAAACAGGCTTGGAAAATTCCAGAGTCTCAGAGCAACACAGTGTGTTGTCAGAGGGCAGTGCTTGTATCCTATAAATACATACGAGAACATGAAGATTTTTCTATTTCTCATCCTCTGACTGAATGACATTTTCACTTGAAAATATCTTTATTTTTAATAAGATACTCACCTTGTACAAATAATTCTCCAGCTTTGCATCGATGCAGTACATATATTTTTCTAGGGAGCAAACTCTTTCACAAAATGGTCATAAAGGAAGCTCCCTATATGAGATAAAGGGGAAGGGAGGACCAGCTGAGTTCCGTTGCTGGGAAACGAGTTGCTCATTCTGGGACATGAGGTTAAAGCCAGGGCACTCCTCCACACCTGGCTTAGCACTGGGAACCCACATAGGAAGCCACACTGCCCATCTTCAGAAACTGTGCTGTCCCATTCCGTCTCCAGAGCGTCTGACGCCCATGTTCTTCTTTGTTGCCAGTGAAATTGGCTTTCTGCAGAGGAGAAACAGCACAACTCGGTTTCTGGATTATAATTTGTCTAAATCAGTTTTAAATGACCTATGACATATTTCTATCTGGCACCTGTGGGGAAATCACTAAAAATCATTTCCGGCCAGATGCAGCCTTCCTGCTTCTGATGGAATACAGTGTAATTCCCTTCCTCCTCCCTCCCTCTCCTGCTAGGAAGCCCAGCGTCAGCAAAGCTAGGCTGTGTTCATGAGGCACAAAAAAGAGGACCGCTGGCCCTAGGAAGGCATGGCGGGAGCACCGCTTTTACCCTGCAAAACTAAGAAACACACAAATCTCTTAACCACGGTCCTTGCACGCGAGTCCTATCAGAGTCACAGTATTTGCAGCCACGCACGTTCCTGTTGTGTGTAGTTCACCATATGTCACCTCTGTTCACTGTCCAGTGTGGGGGAATTATTCCAACATACCACAGAGAAGCATTAAGATATACGGAAATCTGAGGATACCAGTAGCTATTTTGTAGGATAGAAAATACACATGGCAACTTGAGCTGTTCTGAAGCATCTTTCCCTCACCAAAGCTCCCAAGCACTGATTTCTAAGACATACATTTGATTCTCATTGTGCATGGTCATTCATGTTTTCTTTTTGTATGGAATCCTACCTACCCTGATCTAGTAAGTGCAGAAACAGTGCTCCTGGGGGAGATATCTGCATGTTCTTGTGAATTAGAATCCTAAAACTCACAGTGAGTCCCAGAGGTCCAGCAGTTTTATGTGGCTGCCCAGCTCCCCTCAGCTGGCACTGGATGAGAATGTTCATCTGACTTCTGACCCATGGTGGCTCCCTGCAAAATACAGCACACCCTCCACCCTCACCACCCTGTGATCATCTCTGTTTAAAGGTGGGAACAAGAAAACCAAGATTTTCTTTCGTGGATGTCAGCTGGAAGCACAGTGAGTGAGCAGGAGTTAAAAACTTTTGGTGTGTTTCTCATGTCTGTGAATGGCTGCAATCCATGAAAACTGATTTTTGTAGGTACAAATAAATCTTAATAAGAAAGAAAAGTGCAAACATGGAATTCCCAAGTGATGTGAATCCACTGTGATTTGATTTGTTCTTGTCCCAGAAAAATGCATCTCACTATACCCATTTGACTGTTTCTGCTGGCAGCTTTTCCCATCAAGTAGAAGCTTCCTTCCATCTTCTAATTATCTTCATGACTTCTTGCGTTTCCTCTTCATCTGTGTATCCTGTTTCTGCCTCTGTGAGCACGGGTGCTCGTGCACATACGTGCAGATGCTTTCTCATAGCGGTCATCCACCCACATCCTCCAGGCATTAACATGCCACGTAATTGCTCCCTGGCCAATACACAAAGTGGCACATCACGGGAGAGGCACTGCCCTCTTCATTCAGTCCACTAGAAGTGAAATGCCACAGTGGTAGCCCAGAGTCGATGGGCAGTGTGGGTCAAGAGTCACTTTAACTGGACCAGGAGCATCTGTTTTCAGGGTGATGAAATGTCCCACCGTTAGCTCATATGATGCTTGCACCCCTAATTTGGTTAAGCATTAAGTAACTGTGAACTTGGGCTGGGTCAGCTTCTGCTATGTGGGTTATACCTCAATAAATCTATTGATTAAAAACAACAACCAGCTGCACCAGTGCCGGATTGCATAGGAACAGAGGGAGGAAATTGGGAAAGGAACTGGATTATTAGATTCTGCATTCTATCAGAAGCAGGGAAAATATTTTGCCAAAGGTGATTCTCAGTGAGAAACACGTTATGCGGCCCTTTAAAACTACACTTCCACGGGCTTGAAGAATGATGTGGCGGGGGGGACATGTCCTCCTGGTCAGGGCTTTACACTTGCTGAGGGTTTTCCATGTACGTTTACCACATTCCGCTGTGGATTTATTATGGACCTGTGACAAGAAACCCATAAAACCCCGTGAGCTGGCGTCAGTTGGAAATGTCTATTAACTTGTCAGCAAATGAGAAGGGTGAAGAGTTTGCATCGCTACAGATGAATAGGAACAGGTGCGGCATGTCTGCAAGATCGCTAATTAAAACTACTGAGAACTCATATTTAGTTTACATGAAAAAGAGTTTTATACATGTTTGAAAACTGTATGGAAATACAGCTTTTAAACATTTGACTGTACAGTCAAGCTTTACTTCTGCTTCATATCACTTCATGAATGAAACCCCCAGTAGGACATTTCTCACTTTTAGATTAACACACTGGTGTGGTTTATATTCCACAGACCCACATAGCAAATGTTAGCTGTATTTATTACCACGAGGGTCCGAGCGAGTTTAGCAGTGAACATGTTTTCAATTTGTACCATTTACACTTGACTCCAAATAGTGATGCTGATCCATCTTAATGCATAGTCTCATGGTTATCAATCTGAGGTTTTTATCTTCTAAATTCTGTATTTTTTCTTGTTGTTTTAGCAGATGGAAGTTGAAATAATGTGTGTGGAAAGAAAAATGGACAAGTAGATAGACCACGTTACACATTCTTGAAGAGTCTGAATCTAAGTGAAGGGAATATTTGAAGAACTTACGAAATTTTAAACAAGCCATGAGCCCTACCTGTTCTTCAGAGAGTTGATCGCTTGAGGACTAGCTCAAATGCCACTCCTTCCACAAAGCATCCCAAGGTCTCTCCGGTTGGGATCAATATTTCCTTCTTCCCTCTTCAGACACTCCCAGTGTACCACCCGTATGTCGTCTGATGAGCAGGAGGAGGTGTGGAGGAGCAGTGAGTGATGGACAGCACGGGGCTGTGACGAGTTTGGGTCCTGAGTCTGAGTCCACATATGCATGGTGAATCTTAGTCTTTGCAGCTGTGTGGCCTCAGGAACAATTCTTTACCTTCCTTTCTGTAAAATTGAGATGATAATAGTACTTTCCTTTCTTCACTGTGTTGCAAAGATTTAGTGAGAGAAGCAAGTGAACATGACAGAAAGTGTAGGGAACGATTGCTCCAGAGCGATGACAGCTGACACTATTTATCAGGACCGGGTAGCCCAGTAAAACTCATTCGGAAAGGGAAAATTAGGTTTGAGCCTTAATTCTTTTAATTGGTAGCCCTGTGGCCTAGGGAAATCAGGTAACTGTTTGAGCATCCATTCCTTCATCTATTATGTCACCTGGATCAAATAGGGGTGATCAGGATCAAATGTATTTGTGTGCACAGGCATGTTTTATAAGTGAGAGGAGCTGTTTAAAAGTGAAACATCATTTGAAGGCAGCTGAGTGGGATAAAGACAGTCTATAATTTGTAGTCAGTCATACCTGGATTTAAGTTATCACACTGCCATTCTCTAACTTTGTGGCCTGAGTGAGTACAGTACTGGCCTTTGTGCATGAGTGTTCTGGTGTTAGGATTGTTATTATGAGTGTTAAATGATTTTTAGGTATTAGATCTGCCACTGAATGCATAGAAAAAAATCAAACTATACTTACAATTATATTCCTTATCACAGGGCATTTTGGTATATTTATCTCAGCCTTCCTTTGATCCTTAAAGATCCTCAAATGAATGCATGGGAAGGCTGCTTTTTCCAGTCTTTTGTTTGCTGGATAAATATCAGGGGTGCAGCTTACCTTCTAGGATTGAGGCAGAGAACTGATAGATTCTGGGGTCAGTTTCATTTGTCATACTTCAGGTTCTGTATAGGAACAAAATCTATCAATAAATGCAGAAATACTCGGGCAATTTCTGACAGTGTATTGCACAGAGGAAGTTCCCTATCAGCACAGAAATGATGTGTTTCCTTAGGTTGCCCACTAGCTGGCTCTGCACGGATCAAGGCAGCAATAAGGAGACAGCTCCCTCCTCTGCAGTGGTACCCCTTGAAGAAACGATCATTTCTGCATCCCAGCTGCCTTACTCCAGTATACCAACTAGTTTGCCAGCTTTCAGAAGTTCTCAGGTTTAGGCTGGCAAATTACTCTTCCCTCTTGTCCTCAGCCTCAGTGGTTGCGAAGTAATAAAGGGCACAGAGCCAGCCTTGCTTTAAGTGGTTCCTACTATGCTAGCTGGATTCTGTCCTGCATATCCCAGGCTTAGGAAAGAGCAGAGAGTGTGGAAAGAGAGATCATGAGACAGGGAACTAGGTTTTAAGAATAAGGGAAATGAAGTGAGTCATATGTCAATCACAAAAATATTTAGTTCCCTCACATAATTGTCATGACAACGGGCAGCCACTGAGCTGGTTTGACTGGCAGTGGAATACTCCTGGGCCCAGCACGAAGTAGCTACTCCAGGTAGTACTGTGAAACTGAAGATCGCTTTTGCTTGTCTTTCTGACAGATGTCCCAGAGTTACTGATTCGAAAGTCTTTCCCATACTAGATCTGCCAGTTCCCCATAGCTCCTGGCCCAGCGCTCAGCAAAACTACGGAACAAAGCGGGGAAAATGTAAATATAGCAGAAAGTATTTAACCATAGCAGCTGTGTATGCCGACATCCCGATTAAAGCCAATTTAATCGCTGGCTGATAGAAACAGAACGCAAAATGAAGAGGGGTATGAAAAGAAAAGAAAAAAAAAAAAAAAGCAATAAGAGAAAGGTCAAGAAAAACCACCATACTTAGAGTACGCTCGTATTGTGCAATCGATTTTCATAAACTCACATCTCTCTGGGGGAAGTGGCCTGAGCCATTTCAGTCTTGTTCATCTGTGCCCAGAGGAAGAAGCATTAGAGACACCCTGGATGCACCTTCTTGAACAGTTGGCCAAACTCAGGGATAATCAGCATTAAGCATTAGTCTGTGCCGCTCTAGCTCTCCTTGCTGTCAGTCTTAAGGCAGAAGGAAGCTGGAGTCTGAGTGGTACTGCACAAAGCCAAAAGAGCTTCCGCAGCTTGCAGCTCACTCATGCAGGGTGCAGCGCAGACTTCAGGTGCTCCAGGAAGCCATCTGCAGCTCTCCAGGCAATGAAGCCGGGCTGCGAATGCGGTGCTTTCTGGCTGCTGGAAAGACCACTGAGGAAGTCATTCTCAAAGCACTTCCTGCAAAATTGCCTCCATCCATCCCATCTGGTATGTTCTAGTGACAGAGAGCTGAGTGCATTGTCTCCACAACTGAAGGAAAGGCTGCCAGTGTGTCCTGCAGAGAGGCACAGAGGTGAGCAGAGCCATGAGGACTGGTGTTTTCCGAATGAAGCCCGGCCTCACACCCATCGCTCCAGAGCAGGCTGTGCCTGGGACACAGAGGGCTCAGGAACAGGTCTGAGCTCTGAGAGGGTGAGCAGGAGTGCTCTCGGGTCTCCCAGGGGAGGAGAAGCTGACCACCAGGGAGCTGCGTTTGAGGTATGCAAACCCTAGACCAAACTCTAATGGATGAAATGCAGTAGGGCTGAGATGCAATAGAAATCTCAAAGATATATCAAAACAATGTATTAATGCCTCAGAGAATGTGAAAAATAAATAGCAAGGTGCTGAGAAGAGAGAAAGGGAAGCAGGCAAAGGCCACCGGTGGGGGTGGAGGGTGGGTCTCATCCTACAGGACGAGTCCTGGGGGAGGAGCCTTCAGCTGCCTGCCCACTGTTTATCAAGGCTCACAGAGGAACAAAGGCTCAATGTGCCCTTTGTGTGTTTTTTCATCATTTTGTGTGTGTTCTGATGGAAGCAAAGCCTCCGTGTGGCACACTGACAGTGCCCTTTGCCCTCCTTTTATCTGGTCTGCTTCCTAGACTTGCCGTTATTTCTCTGGTCCCACGTGTTGGGTACCTTTCATCTTTTCTCAGAAATGATTACCTTCAGGCCTGCTACGTGCAAAGCTATGACACAGCACATAACCTCGGAGCCCTTTCACGTGAACCTCCTTGAAAAATCCATTTTAATACGAGACAGAGACCGACTGGATTAATGTTTTTCATGTGTTAGTATCACAAGGAAGAGTAGAAAGCAGCTCAAGGGTACTTACCTCTGAGGCCCGGGGGAAAGAAGAAGGAGAAATCTGAGAGAGCAATGTGCAATCACTAGAGAATTAGATTCAGGTACTTTCAAGGAATAAACATCAATTTTTTGTCAGTAAATTATTTGCATATAACCTGCTCTTAATGCTGACTTAAGATACATACAACAACAACAACAAAGACCTCCTTTGGTAATGACACCAAGAGTTATAATCACGGGCTGGAAAAGGACATAAATATACCAAAAATCAAAACCATTATAGTTGGAAAAAGCTTTGTATTTTTCTTTTGTATAACCAAAGAAAAATTGTTAGAGGGTTTTTTAACAACTAGTAGTTGAGGAAAGGTGGGAGACAGATATTTTCCAGGATGTGAGTTTTAATACATATTTGATTGTACTGAGATATCTGTATTTGGATACGTAAACGTGAGAAGTCTGTGCAGTCATTGGGGTAAGATTTGTGTGGGTAACTGACAAACCACTCAGTCTCCAGTCAAAGCTCTTGTTTATGCATTCATACAATGATTCTTAAAGCCCAGTTGGGTCCCCTGAGGCTAACTACACCTCAGAATTAGCCTAGAGAAGATTGAAAACATGCCTGCCCTTCCTATCTTGCAGAAAATTATTACTTAGAGAATGTAATGGTCAGTGACCTGTACTTGGGAAAATGACTGGAATAGACGTTCAACCTCTAAGCTCCATGAAGAGAATCTCTTCTCTAGCAACAGCAAAATGTGGGAGGCTTGCAGTCACGGCAGGAAAGTTCGCTGTTCCCTACATGGGACAGCAGAATCTAGAGACCATATCTGTTTTGGAGTTTAATAATTTAAAATGGAATCCATACCTTATGTTCATTCTGTCTCACTAAAACATACAATCTCTCTGTGCTCACCTCATAGTGCTGACCACTATAAAACAGCTTTATGATATCAAGCATAGCTTAGATGGTACAGTACAGCTGTGCACAACCTTAGCTCAAAACCTATTTCCAGAATCCCCCAACTACCCAAGTTTCCAGGCTTCTCGAAGCATCCTTGATTGAGTCGCAGAATGCCCTACGCACCCCTGTTGAGTGTGCATGTGTTCTGGCCTCTTCAAGATCTCACCCCAGGTAAAACCTATTGTAGAAAATACTTTAGAGAAGGTCCGAGGGATGGCCAAATCTGAGCTGGTCTTCCGAGGATACACACACTGATCATCAGAGAACACCAGGCACCGTGCATGGAGCTCAGTTTTTTCCCTTGAGTACATCTGTGAGTAGAAAGCATTTTTGCAAAAGAAGCTTAGACCTGGCCATCATAATGCTCATGTGTAAATCCTGCCCTGCCTCTCATCAGCTGTGTGACCCTGCACAATTTCCTTCCCGTCTCTGTACCTCAGTTTTCTTTTCTCCCAAACGAAGGTAACAATGGTGTGCATCTTCTAAGCATTTAGAATGAGCACTCAGTAAGCTAGAGTTGTCAGTATTTTAGCTGAAATTAAGCCATTCAGCATTCTTTAGGTAGCAAACTCATGCTATTTTTCTTATGAACTTGCGTTTTCCAGCAGACCAATGAATCCAGTGACACTTGAAGGAACCTCAAAGATGACCTCCCTTCCAGAGACGCTGAATGAAAACCTTTATCAGCCTATAAAGAAACACTCTCTCTTTGTACTCTGCCTTCAAATATTGCTGCACTACCTGGCTCGAAACTCAGAGAATCTGAATGAAGGCATTTTTTTCTCTCACTCAAGCTCTCTCTTTCTCTCACTGTTCAAACTATCACGCAGAATTTCTTAAGAGACTTTTCCCCCTCCATATAACAGTCTCTTTTTTTATGTTTCCCAATTTTAAATTTAAAAGACTACCTGTACTGGGAATTGTTCAGTGATGCTGATTTATGAGACTTATGCAAAAAAAAGGACAGTCTTACCAATGTAAGTATCTATTTGGCAAGGCGGCCGTGATTTATAAAAAGGCGGGCTGGTGACACTCGTATAAAGGTAACTTTCATGTGGAAAGTATAAAGGCAAAAGGAAAACCAGTTGAATGAAAAACTCTTTTGCTATTTTAAGGCAAGTATAATTGCTACTCTAGCTTTAACTCAAAATCCACCCTGTGGCGAGCGTGCCTCCTGGTTCCTTTGCTTGGTCTCTGAAGCCCAGTGTTAGGTTAAGTTTGCCTGTCTTTTCTAATCATTTCTGTGGGCCTGTGATCCATGAACTTCTTTAATATTCATTAAAGCTCTTTACATTTTGTACATTTTTCCACCTTGATGACCTAATGGGGAAATGATATATGGTATCAAGCTTCTGATATTTTTCCTGGAAGAGCATATTCTACATTTTTAAGGATGCCTTATATGAAAAGTCAACTTAGAAAAATTATCCTTTTTACTGTGTTTTGGGCTCAGATCCAATTCTCTAGCTTGGATCACCATTAGTCTAGCTTTTACACAGAAGCTCTGCATGCTTTCTCTCAAGGGAGTGGTCATCTCACAGTGATGTTGCTGGAGCTTCTGGGCTCTTTCTGGAGCCACAGGGCAGTGTTCCACACACAGGACTAGCCGCAGCTCATACCATTCCCTGAGAAAGTCCAGGCTGCCAGGCAGGTTGGTCTCATAGCAAGCTGCTAGTGGTGAGTCAGAATGGCCTTTCCCTGAATGCAGCACATCAGACTCGGTGCATGGATGTACATGGGTCACCTCAGGGAGTTTATTCTTGAATTTTCCTCAGGAAAGTTTAGTTACAGCTGCTAAGCCAGCAGTTCCAGTTAACAACGTTATTTCTCACTCCTGCCGCACGCTCTCAGTGGTCAGCAGGAGCTGATGTGCCACTCTCGCCCCTGGGGCTGCGTTAATGAACTGAATTCTAGGTGGACCCTGGCCAGTTTTATGACAGAACCAGAAGGATTTGTGATTAACTATGAAAATTTCTACTTAGAAGTGACACATGTCACTCTCCTCAATTTTCTCCAGCAGAAACAACATGCTTAGAAAGGGTAATCGTTTTCTAAGGAGGAGCACTATTGTGAAGGGATGTGGAATATTTCTATGACAGAAAACTTCAACTTCTGAAAAGTGATCCCTCATATTGTGTTGAAAACTCAAAAAAATAAAAAAAGGGTATAAAATTATGACTATAATATCCTAAACTTGATTGGTGGGGTAAAGGTGTCTTTGTGAGAAACCAAACAAGGAAAATTCATTTGCAATGACTGACAATACTCGAAATTCCTGGGAAGAAGGAGGAAAGTGATCATACCTAATTCCACATCTTTATTAGTCCACAGGGCGAGAATTTTGGCAAAGCAAGGAAGGGATAATGACCATTTCAAAAATAGCTTTCCTCTGAGGATCCTCCGCTCATAGCTTCAGTGGGTGGTGACAGACATCCATAAAATAGGAGTCTGAACTCTGCTTAAAATGAACTCTTCACCAGCTTGAGGATCAAAGAAAATAACATGATGTCTCTCTCAGACGGAGAGGTCAGAGAGAGAGATGATCAGGAGAAGGATGGGGCAATGTTTTACAGGAAACACTGGGCATTTCCCAGTGAGTGGAAATTTCTTCTTTTCCAAGAAGGAAAAGCAGCAATATAGATCATGTGAACATAAATTATAGAGAAAGAACAGAACACAGTAGAAATGAGAAGCAAAGGGAGACCTGCAGTTGAGCTAAGAATCGGGGGTACCAGTCAGGGTGAACGAAGCAGACAGAACCCACCTGGAGAAAAACTAGCAACTGAAGAGGAACCAAGATGATAGAGAATATATTTTTCACTGACAAAGCTTTGTAATGCTAAAAAGGGCCTCTGAAAAGTGATGAGATTAACAGCATCGATTTCTCAATTCAACAAACATTGTCACATTCTCTTCCTGCAGGCTCCATACCTGCCTGGGAACAGCCAAGTGAGTAATACATAGAGCTTGACCTGAAGGAGTTCATGTTTTACTAGAGATGATAGGTTAAAAAAATAGTTCAGTACACTACATGAATCAACGCACATGCACCACATGAAGGGTGCTGGGGGACCACAGAAGGGTGGCAGTTAAGCCAACAGGAGAGAGAAGAAACAGAGAAATAGTGAGCAAGATTTTCTGGGATGCCAATGCTTGAGCTTCAAGCCGAAGCACAGCTGGGACTTAATGAGAAGACACTGAAAAAGTTGTTCCTGGCCAAGCAAACAGCAGATTCAAGTGCTCGTAGACAGCAGGTCCAGGGGTGAGAGGCTCATGTTTGGAGAGCTGACCTCAGACTTTGTGTGTGGGCCAAGCTCATGCATAAGTGGCAACACCCATAGAACAGTGCTCCAAACCAGGTCCCGGTGCCGGCACTGTCACTGGTCAGCTGGATACGGGTTCAAGACAATTTTTCTGTGCCTCTTCTCTTTTTTGTACAAGAGATGTTGTTGAATTACTAATGCCATGAATGCCATCATTTGTATAACATTTATTAATATGAAACTTCTAAATAAAGAGTTACCCATGGAAAGCAAGAGACCCAGTAGCACTTGGGCACTGGGGTTAAAGAAGTGTAGATTCTATGTATTGATCAAGTCATTGTCCCCTCCAACTTTCCACACTCAGGACCACTTCTGTTCCCTTCCAGAAATGACTCTGCTGAGACCTTATTTTTCCTTGATGCAACCTTTTCTTGTGCCAGCTCACTCTAATGTTCGGAAGGCACTTCTTCAGACTGTGCTGAAAGCTCGTAGCTGAAGAGCGACAGTCGCTATGGCACCTTGAACTACCTCACAGGTGAAGGGAGGATTTGGTCACACAAGGGACTAATCAGAAAAGATAGAAGCTGTGGACATTTCCACACTGACAAAAAACAATGCAGCTGAAAATGAGCGAGCAGGAATCACAGAGAGCAGAGAGGAGAAATGTTAAGCAACAGAAAAAGAAAGTAGGCTGAGAATCTGAAGCTCAGGAGAAGAGCAGGAACCCGCAAGGCTGGGGTGGTGGAGAGACTAACGCCCAGGAAAGAACTCGCAGAGGTCTGAAATCAAGGTGAAGGAGAATACATTTTCACCCATAAAGTTCAGTAGTGCTATTAGAATTGCAAATATGCATTTAGATTTAATAATACAATTATGGTATATTAAATGTCAAATGACTGTTACAGAAAAGCACTTAAAATTAATACATATGTATGAGATAAATCCTGTCTGGTTGTCAAGGTCTGAAATCAAAGTTATATAAGCCAGGCTTTTACACTGAATTTTGTTACATCTTAAAGTTGCAAAGATCTATGAATTTCATTGGTATTTAGCAAAGAAACATGAGCAAAGAACAGAGAAAAATGGTCAGCTGTCAGGGCAAGTAGCAAAATCCAAATGCTACTGAAAACCATAGTGAAATTGGGGGCATTGTGAGTCTTATTACTGTTATAAGCTTCATCATCTGATCATCATCATCATTGAGTTAGCTCGGTATCATCAAGTCGCCTCTTTCCGTCCTTCCGTTTTCCTTCCTGTCTTTCTTCCTGATTGTTCAAGGCATCCATGTGTAACTTTACTTATAAAGATGTGCAATGAATACACACCATTATCCCACCCCCTCTCCAGTTCCGTTTTTCAAAGGCAACTCCTTTTTGTTCCAATGTTTTCCTTCAAGGCAATATTTTCGAAAAATTGGACACTTCTACAAGAAAGGTCATTTTGATGAGAAGCAATGGACACCCAACACTTAAGCGTTAGATGCTCTCTGTGCAGAAATGAGCTCAGAGAAGATTGTTATCTACTTATTCTTAGGTGCAAATATCCTGCAAACTTCTGCTCTTCAAATATTGAGGTCAAGATTGTGAGAAACATGGTGGGTTGAACAAATGCATCTATCTTACCTTTGTCCTGAAATGTGAGCATGGTGGCAGTAAATCAATTTTTGAAAAGGAATAAACCTACAATGAATGACGAAACAGAGCAATACAATTTTAGAAAGCGGAAAGTAGATAGACAGGAACACGTGACTTGCAAATGAGAGATAACTCATCTAAGCCAGAAGTCAGAAAAACCAGAGGCAGTGGTAAAAAAAAAAAAAAAAAAAAAATGAAGTAGTTCAAAATAGTTACCAAATTCAGAATGCCTTTGCGTTTTTAAATGCAAGGATTTTTTGAAAGAATTAAAAAATTTGCTATTGTGAAAGGAGATAGAACTAAAATAATAACATTAGAAAGTCCCTAAAGTTTAACTTCCCAAGGCACCCCAGTGTGAAGCTGACCAGTAATCAAGAACTATCCTTACTGTGTGATGTTCAGCTAACATCTTAGCACTTTCTTTCTAACATAAATGAGGACCAAAGACTGAGAGGTATTTGAAAAAAAAAATATTTGAGAGGCATTAGCCAGGGAAAAATTTGTATCTAACCAAATTTTTATCCTTAGGAAGGTATCCAAAACAGAAGACACCTTGAGTCTTCTATTGTTTTAAACCCGTCCTGAAGATAGTTCTGTGACTTAATTGAAGCGAATAGAATAATTAAAGAACTAATCTATTAGAAATTGGAAATCACTGAGAATTCCTTCTTCCTTTCCTACACTTGTCTCCTATGGGACAAAGCAGAAATCCTGGAGAATCAGTTATACATAGACCCAAAATCTGAAGGAGCAGGCAATGAGAGGAGAGCTTCTTGTGGAAGCACTTTCCAGCTTATTTTATCAGCACTATAAACATCATTTTAGCCTCAATTTCTCTGCCTCGTTTTTTATTATTCAATTTTTGTGAATTTCTAGAACAGGGAAGGGATGATTTGTATTGTTTTTTCTAAATATTCCAAACTTCAGAAATGAATGATAATAAGAAACTCAGAACAGAGTTTTCAAAAAGCAAAAGCATGAAATACAGATAGTAACAACGAAAACAAAGATATGACATGTATTTGACATTTAGTATTTAAGTAAAATTAACTTTCATGGAAGTTAAAAATTTAATAGTGCATGGTAATTAAGGAAAGAGAAGTTAAATACTTAGCTAAATGAAGAAGTGTTAGAGTGAGGGAAAAGAAAGAGTTTTACAGAATCAATTCATTTGGCACATAAGGAAAAAACAAAGAAAAAGGAAATGAAGTTATCAGAGAAATAAATCAAGAAAAATGGCTGGCCCCGCCCCCTGTTTTAACCTGGGGAATAATTAGTTCTAGAGTAGGGAAGTACTGGTCAATGAATTCTTCAGTGGGTGAAGAGAATTAAACCAAGCAAACCAAAAGCAGGAGGTCTAAGAACTCTATCCAGTTCTAGCACTGTGAAGCCAGTGGGAACCGGAGTCTTTCTACCTCATGCAATAGCAGAACCCTGGATTCTGCAGAATGACCTGCCCATTCTGGCTTCTTTTCACAAGTGGCCCTGCTGCACCACCCCAGGGGCTGCTGCTGAGGAGGGCCAGTGAGGGCAGCTGCTGTCTCTCCTAGTGTCTTCACAGTAATGGACATCAGATAGTGCTTCCATGTAGCTATGGTTTAGTGCCTCATCACTTAAACTGTCTGCAATTCCTTTGCTGAAAATGTTGTTTAGGAGGCTTTGATTTTGCTGAACTACGGTTTTTAGAAGGGAATTTGTAGAGAGTCATCAAATATACTGAAGCCTCTGATTTTTTAAGACTCCTCACTTTTGTAATTTTTCTTCCAATGTTTTAAAGGCTAACCATGTATAAATTGTCATCTTAAAAAATATCAATATCACATCAAAGGTCATTGAGTTAGAAGTCTGGCATGAAATGACAACATTCACTATACAGGTATCACAGAGTTGACAAAGCCAAGGCATTAGTCTGGTTGGTTTCTTGTAGGAGGAATTTGGGGCAAATCCTCTTTTAAACCCACTCTTCACTGATATGACTCAGCTCAGCTCTCACTGTCCTGTGACTGCTGTTCTGTGGGCAGAAGGGCTTGCTTGTGAGCAGCGGAGGGCTGCTGCCAGCCCACCCTACCACACATCCTTGATAACAGTGCCTCCACTGCCCAGCCAAGGGCAGAAAATTTAATCCATCCTGTATCTTGAATCCTTTGTTTCCCTTTTGGCCACCAGTTAGAACAATCTCTCTACTCTCAAAAGGCTAATATGATTGAATTATGCCCACCTGGAAAGTTTCTCAATCTAAAGAAAATTGTTCCATATAATATAACCTACTAAGAGAA